AGGATGGGGAGGGGAGCAGTGTTGCACGTAGACAGCGCGCAGCTGGACCTGTGCATGAGAAGCAGGCCTCCCTGTGCTACAGCTCTGCTCTCAGCAAGCAGCTAGTCTTCTGCTGTCCTTACCCATCACAGCTCTCCCTACATTGAAGTCCCTACCTCTCAGCCCCCTCCCCCTCACATCCTCTCCATTTCTCCTTCTCCCTCCCCCCCCAACCCTCCAGCTCTGCCCACTGCCTGGATTCCTCTTTCCCCAAGGGGAAAATGACCTTTTGCTTCTCGCCCATTCCACACCCTTCCTCTTCCGCAGATTCAACACCCGCTCCTTCCCAGGCCCAGAGGACCGAGGGGGCAATGACCCCAGCAGCATCTAGGGGCCAAGGTTCTTTCGTCACTTACCAAGTAGCAGGCCCTTCACAAGAGCCGGGGGGGAAGCAGTGTCAGCACCAAGTCCCCACCTCACATTTAGATTGGGGAAACAGGCAAGAAACACACGGATACATCAGGGGAAGCGTTAGGGAGAAGGACAGACAGATCAGACAGGGCGACAAAAATCATTTGTACAGGCTGGCCTTGTTGCCAAGCAGCCTGGGGTATTTTGCACGATGCAGATGGACATCGTGACTCCAAAAAGTCACCCAGACAAGGCTGGATGGCAACAGTGCACACAGCCAGCTGCTGAGTGCCATCGTCCTGGGCCAGCTTGTGGCGAACACCTTAGGTTGACTCTGCCAGGTGCCAGTCTCTGCTCCTGATCTTCATTGGCTGCTGGTCCCTGAGCGCTTCGGTGCTAACAGCCCTAGGTGTTTGCTGCACTTTCTTTTGAACTGACCACTCAGTTCACACTCCTCAGATAAGAATCCCAAGTAGATTTACAAGACTTTTGGAGCCCATGATACTTGAAAAATAAATCAAGAGCAGGTTTACAAGACCACCAAAATGAGTCTTTAACAGGGCCTGTAATACAGCACAGCAGAGTCACCTGAAAGGAGACTAAGCAGTGTGTGGGAGTGCTGCTTATATAGCAGCTGCCGGGCTGTGATTGGTCCAAGGGAAGTGCAGGCCTGTGATTGGTGCAGGGCTCCAGGACACCCTGTGAAGAGGTGTGGCTGAAAGAAGGGAATCTTCTGGAAAGCTGGCTGTGCAGGTGGGCATGTTAACAATGGGCCCAAATCTTCCTCTCCACCTCCCTCAACTCCTGCTGCCTGTGGTTCTGCTTCCCCCCTCTCTTGCTTCCAGATCTCTCTCTGTTTCTCTGTCTCTCTGTTTCTCTCCAATTCTGTCTCTGCTAGGGCTCTGTGCCTCTCCTCCATTTTCTCTTCAGGATCTTTTGTTAAATTTGCCTTCCAGGAAAAGCTGACGTTGAGGCCAGCAGCCTTGAGCCTCTCTGGGGTGGGGGTGTCCTGGTAGGGCAGTAGCAGCTGGCAGAGAGTACAGGGAAGGCCTTGTCCCCTGCTAGGGTGACCCACTGTCCCATTTGACCTGGGACAGTCTAGGTGTCAGCACCTGGCATAGGGCCAGGCAAACTAGAGCATTGGTGTCACCCTGCCAGCTGCCCAAGAACCCAGGAGCAGGACTGGGGACACTGCAGGAAGCTCTGGCTGGAAGAGGATGAGGAGCCAGGTATCTGGCTGTCTGCTACATTGTGTCTCATCTAGGGACAGAAAGGGATAAACAGAGGGGCTGCCCAGGAGATAACAAGTCCCCATCCGTGTCCCATTGTGAGATCCCTGGGGGGATCGGATGGATGGTCCTTAGCTGAGGTCCACTTGGCCCTGGTGACCCTTATCTCTCTCTTTCCTGGTAGAAGTGAGGGGGCACCCTGCAGGCAGTGGCAGGCCCTGGGCAAATAGGAACCACCATCACCAGTGACCGACACATGCCACTCACTTCCACCCTCACAGAATGGTTGGTCCCTGTCACTTCTTGGCCTTGGCTGTTCCCAGGTGGGATCCTGAGGATGCGCTGGTGTGTGGCTCCATCCAGGGCCTCGAGGACAGGGCACAAGAGGGCCAGGGCTGCCCCACCCAGGTACAGTTGGTAACACATTCCCCTACCTAGCAGAATGGGATCTCTAGCATGGCATGTGACTTCTCTAAATGCTCTCCTTGAAGGGATCCCCTGACTTTGGGCACATCCCCTCCCCATCTGTGCCACAGGTGGTGTGTCGGTTTGTGAGATATTGCATGGGGAACAATATAATACAGGACACATATTTTATGAGATTATTTATAATAGTCACCCAAAGAATGATATACAAAAGAGTACAGAAAATGTGTCCATACACTATAAACCAAGAATCCAGCTGAGGGTCTGGATCTCACGACAATGTCCTGCATGAGTCCAGGTGAAGACCTAGAGCCCATAATGATGCCTCCCACAAGTCCAACTGGAGGCCCAGAGCCCATGACAACATCTTATGCAGGGCTGTTTCACAGATCTGTGCTGGGAAGGCCCAAAGGTCAGTGGTGAAAGCTAGAAAGTCTGTGCCAGCGGGATGAAGGATCTGTGCTAGGAGGCTGAGGGAGCTACACTGGAGCCAGGAAGTGACACTCAAAATAAGAACCAGAGCTCCCCCAAAAATGTACCACAGCCACTCTCAGCAACAGTGAAGTCCCAAGCTCCTCCGATGGTTAGGACAGCTGTGTTCCCATCAGGAAAGGCAACACAGCAAGCTTCTTCAGGAAACTGGCAGTGCACCGTCTTCCCCTCTGAACCCAGGAAGCGATGCTCAAAGTGAGGACCAGAGCTCTCCCAAAGTGAGCCAAAGCCATTCTTAGTGACAGCGAGGTCCCGAGCTCCTTGGACAATGGGAACAGGCGAGTTCATCAGGAAAGCCAGCATGACAAGCTCCTCCAAGAAAACCAACAGTTCCTTACCGCTTCTCTCAGCCTCCAACAGGCTCCCAGTAGCTTCTACCAGCTCCCAACAGCCTTCCTTCTTCTTCTCCAGTTCTGCCTCTTATGCTGCTGGCAACAGTCCACAGGTGGGCCTCCCACACCCAGCACCATGCTTACTCAGTTCAGCTGAGTGTTATAAGTTGACCACCAGTTGTCAATCCACTACAGGTGGGCACTAAGTACTTTCCTTCCTGGTGCCAGATGACCATCCCTTTGGCTCACCCATTCCACTGAGAACATTTATCAAGAAGAGATGGATAAGTCTCTGCTTTCCCTGCAGCTAGATCACATGTTCAACGGAAAAGCATAGGCCACTGCCAATGCTAGGGAGGGCAAAGAAGGAAATCCAGGGGGTCTGTGCAAGCCAGACAGGCTCCTCAGAGGAGGCGATTTCAGCAAACATGCCTGACATAGAGCCTCCTCTTCCAAGAAGCCCCCTTGATTGGCCCTGATGTCACCATTTCTCTCCTCTGCATGGCTGAACCCTGGATGTGTGAGCTTCCAGCCTCTGGTCGAGCTTCCCAGTGCAGGGCTTTCCCAGAAAGTTGCTGGCACAGTAGGATATGGCAAGAGAAGGCTTCCTCCACAGGGCAAGCTGTCTGAACTAGATGCTAATCATAGCCCCGGCCTGTGGCCCAGCAGCTGCAGGCAGCATCCCGGGACTTCTAGAGCCTTGCTTGGTGACAGGGAAGGGACAGCAGGGGCTGGGAAGGGCTCCTCACATTTTCAGCCAAAAACAACACTGTTAGCCCCTGGCCCTGCCAAGAGGTAAGTTGAGTCAGAATTCAGCAGCTTAACAAACAGAAAAGTCAGGACCCTTGGGTGAGGGCTACAGAGGGGACATGAACAGATCCACCACAGATGGCAGGGTTGTCCAGCCCAGGCTCCCTCATCCGTTAGTTTCTCCTCCAGCTCCCTTGTTTTGGGCTCTGTGTGTGTGTGTGTGTGTGTGTGTGTGTGTGTGTGTATACTGGGGATTGAACCCAGGGCCTTTGCATTGAGCTGTATTCCTGGTCCTTTTTTAATCTTGAGACAAAGTCTCACTAAGTCATTAAGCTGCCCAGGGTGTGCTCGAACTTGCTATCCTCTTGCCTCAATCTCCCAGAGTGCTTGGGTTACAGCACGCATCACCACACCAGCTGTTTTGGGCCTCTTCGTTCCTCTATCCCCATTCCCTGTTTGGGAAAAAAACAGCACCCACGTTCCCCCTGGCAGTCCACCCCTCACCCAGGGGGACAGTGAGCCCATCCAGCAGGATTTCATGCTCTGTGGTGCAGAGGACGTTCAGGGGAGGCCTCACGCCTGCTGCTGAGTGGCCAGCCTGGGTCCGGGAGCCACCCTGTGAGTCTGGGGGTCCCAGAACTGCAGCTGGGGACATTGGTGTCCCCTAGTTCCTGCCCAAGCTCTTGGTCAGAGGTTCTGAGCTTCCTGGGGCTGCTGTCGTCCCTCCTCCCAGCTCAGTGGGGCCCAGCTCCACCCGGACAGAATGTGCGGCTGGTTGTGTTTTCTTAGCAAAACTCGCCCAGTACTTTGGCTTCTCGCCCAGAGGCTGGGGCCTGGCGGCTGCTTCATGCACTCCAGCCATCTCGGCCTTTCATGAAGACAACACACACATAGATGGGCATGCACACACACGTGCACACACACAAACAGCACACAGGGTACCCCACAAACAGAGAAAACACACAAACATATACTCACTTCTACACACAAACTCACATATACCAACACAGACACACAGGCTGTCACCCCCCCACACATACACGGAAGACACAACTGCACACTGAGGGTCAGTTGTGTCTTCCCCAAACACACACATCCCCACAACCTCAACATTCAAACACACAAATTCTCTCTCTCACACACCGTCTCCTACTTGCATCTGCACTGACACACACACACACACACGCACGCGCAGCTGTAGGGAGGAAGAGCAGCTCCTTTCTCCCTGTTGCCAGCAAGGGTAGAAGTTTCCCACTTTCGCTGAGATCCGATTTCTCACCCTCCCCCCTCAAAACCCTTGCTGTCTTCTTGGGTCCTGTCCAGGCAGTGCTATGTCTTTAAGGAAGTTGGAAAGAGAGAGAGAGAGAGAGAGAGAGCGCGAGAGAGAGAACACAACCCTAAAATATTTGGCCTCTTCCCCTCCAGTTAAGTTTCTGGTGTCACTTAGGAAACGTCCCTCTTGCAGAGCAGCAGTCTTGTGTGCTCTGGGAAGAGGGTGCGTGGGCTGCAGCTCTCTCCTGCAGACTCCCCACAGTCCCAGGCTCCCGTCCTGCCAGGGGACACAGATTGTCCCTTCTCCCAGCACCCAGCCCTCCCTGGGGCACCCTGGCCTTGCTGACCCTCTGCTAACTCAGTCCTTTGTTGCTTTCTGGTTCTGTCTTGGACGCGCCTCGCCTGACAGGAGAGGGGTTTGAAGGTAAGCTGGGGAGGAGGGCACAGGCCAGAGGTGGAGGCAGTGGCCCACGGGATTCAGGGGCTTTCCCTCTGGCACATCCGAGGTGCTGGGGACAGTCCCTTGTTGGGAGACATCCAAGGAGTAGCTGCTTCTTGAACAGCCCAGACCCCCGAAATCCCAGCTGCCTTCAGGCCAAGCCTCCACCCTGGCTCAAGTCAGCCCAGAGGTCCTGGCGGGGTTTATTTAGGCAGCTGCCTGGCGCAGTTGGAACCGAGCATTCCCGCTCGGGTGTGATTCCACAGAAAGGGCCTGGTGTCCGCTGTGGTCACGGCAGGAAGAGTGGGGGTGGCATGCACTGCACAAGGGGCCTTGTGTGGGCCAGGGGCAGAGTGCACCTCTGGGGGGCTCGGGTGGGAGGGACCGTGTGCAGGATGTGGGAGGGCAGAAGGGAGGCTCTTCGATGTGCTGGGGGAGGGGGCGGCTGGAAAACAGATTTCAAGTCAGAGAGTCAGCCAGGAACAGGCCGAGGCAGGGAGAACTCGGCGCAGAGGAGAAGCTGGGGTCCTCTTCCGTCCTGTCTCCACCCTGCCTGGCTACGCAATCTTGGCAAGTCTGGGTCCCTCTCTGGCCCTCGGTTTCGCCTTCTGCGGAGGGTGGAAGGTGGTTGGCGGTTTGGAGGATGCTGAGCTTTCCTTAAGTTTTGCAGGACAGGGCCTCCTCTGACTGGACGAGCTTGGGAGGGGGCCCGGGGAGGGACTGGTCCCTGGGGTAGGTCCTGGGGTTACCAGAGTGACACGCGCTCCTCCGCAGGAGGGACGATGCCGGGGCTGCGCCTGCTGTGCTGGGCGCTGCTCCTGGGCCTGGTGAGAGGCTGTCCTGAGCCCTGTGACTGCGGCGAGAAGTATGGCTTCCAGATCGCAGACTGCGCCTACCGAGACCTGGAGGCTGTGCCGCCTGGCTTCCCAGCCAACGTGACCACACTGAGCCTATCGGCCAACCGGCTGCCAGGGCTCCCCGAGGGTGCCTTCGGGGAGGTGCCGCTGCTGCAGTCGCTGTGGCTGGCACACAATGAGATCCGCAAGGTGGCCGTGGGTGCCCTGGCCCCACTGGGCCACCTCAAGAGCCTGGACCTCAGCCACAACCTCATATCAGACTTCGCCTGGAGCGACCTGCACAACCTCAGCGCCCTACAGCTGCTCAAGATGGATAGTAATGAGCTGACCTTCATCCCACGCGATGCTTTCCGAAGCCTGAGCGCCCTGCGCTCCCTGCAGCTCAACCACAACCGCCTGCACACACTGGCTGAGGGCACCTTCACACCACTCACTGCGCTGTCCCACCTGCAGATCAATGACAACCCCTTTGACTGCAACTGTGGCCTCGTGTGGCTCAAGACATGGGCGCTGGCCACAGCTGTATCCATCCCGGAGCAGGACAATGTGGCCTGCACCTCGCCCCACGTGCTCAAGGGCACCCCACTGAGCCGCCTGCCACCTCTCCCCTGCTCAGCACCCTCCGTGCAGCTCAGCTACCAGCCCAGCCAGGATGGTGCTGAGCTGCGGCCCGGCTTCGTGCTGGCGCTGCACTGCGACGTGGATGGGCAGCCGGCCCCACAGCTGCACTGGCACATCCAGACCCCTGGTGGCACTGTGGAGATCGCCAGCCCTAATGTGGGCACTGATGGCCGTGTCCTGCCCGGAGCCCCAGCGGTACCTGGTGGCCGGCCACGCTTCCAGGCCTTCGCCAATGGCAGCCTGCTCATCCCCGACTTTGGCAAGCTGGAAGAGGGCACCTACAGCTGCCTGGCCACCAACGAGCTGGGCGGTGCCGAGAGCTCAGTGAACGTGGCGCTGGCCACCACAGGTGAGGGTGGCGAGGATGCACTGGGGCGCAGGTTCCACGGCAAGGCGGTGGAGGGCAAGGGCTGCTACACAGTTGACAACGAAGTACAACCGTCCGGGCCTGAGGACAATGTGGTCATCATTTACCTCAGCCGTGCTGGGAACCCCGAGGCGGCCGTGGTGGGAAATGGGGTTGCAGAGCAGTGGTGCCCCGGCCTGGTCCTGGTGCTAGCCCAGAGCCTGCTCCTCCTCAGCACCCCCTTCTAGCCGAGCTCCAGCCTGGCCTGAGGCTGGCCCTGATCCTGCCTCTTTCACGTAAGTGCCAGGGACTCTGAATTGGTGACTTCACATTTTCCTACCTCCCTTCTAATCTCTTCCGGGCACCCAATGCCCCAGCTCCTAAACCTGCTCAAAATGAGGGGCCAGTGGGGAGCTGGGTCCCAGCACCAACTTGGGGCCCATTGCTGCTAACAGAGTCACCCATGGCCCCAGCAGGGCCAGCATGCTCGGGGTGATGCCATGCCACTGGGGGCCTGGTTGCTGTGACTGACAGTGGGGGCCATGCGGTGGGGGTTGGGCTACCGGGGCAGAGTGGGGAGCCGGGAAAGGGAGCCGAGGAAGGTGGGGAGGGGCTGGGGTGTGGCTCTGCAGCCCCTGTGCTCCTCTGCTGGCTGGTGTTCTCCACACCACCGGCTCCAGAGTTCCTCTGCCTCCTCCCAGACAGGCCTGGCCTCCCTCTCCTCCTTTCTCCCTCCTAGCCTATGCCGTCTGCCCAGGACACCCGCCCGCCCTTTCTTCCCTCCAGTTTGCATTTGCAGCACGGCCTGCAAAGGGGCCACCTGGGATGGAAAAGAATAAACTGCATTTCTCATGCTCCGTTGTGTCTGCCTGGAGTTGTGTCTGGATGGAGGAGCCCCGAACAAGAGATAGGATCTAGAGCTGGAGAGTCAGGAGATCACAGGCATCACAGTTGTCAGAGGACCAGCAAGCCAGAGCCTGGCAACACTTACAGGGGCTCTTTGGGGCCTCCAGGAACCTTGAGCCATATTTGATGCCAGCCGTGACCCCAGGAACAGGCAGAGGTCGGCCGAGTTGTAGCCCCTCATTCCTGTCCTGCTTCTTGGAGAAATGTTAGGAATGGAGAGGAAAGGGGGAGAGGGAGGACACCGGCAGGGGGGTGCGGGAGACACAGAAGGGTGGAGGAAGGCAGCCCCAGCGGACAGAACAGGCTGGAGGGAGTCTGAGGGGCTCCCAGGAGAATCCACAGGGGCAGGTCAGCCCTGAGGCACTATGCCCTGCCAGAGTGACTCCCTCCCCTTCATCTGCCCTTCCAAGATGCGGGGGCAGTGACCTAAGGGGTCCTGACAACTGAGCTCAGAGGAGTTCAGGCAGGAGACTGAGGAGCCTGGGGTGACAGCTGTGACCCAGGGCCCTGGCCTTCCCCCACCTCTAGGTCCTGCCCAGGGCCTCTCCCTTGTCCTCCCTCAATGCATACTTTGGGCTGGGCCCAGCTGGGCCACCAGCCAGGATCCAGGATGATCCCACATCTGCGCCAGGACAGAGCCAGCTCTCGTATGCTGTGCCACCTCGGGTAAGTCACTGCCTATCTCTGGGCCTGAGCTGGCTCAAGTCAAGTGACAGGGTGAAGTGGGGTTCACCATGGGGATGGACCCCATGGACCCCAATGTCTCTGGCTCTGTGAGGAGGGGACCCTAGTTTGAGCCAGGGCACTAGGGGATATCATGCCCTGGTGAATGATTGATGCTGCTGCTCTTGGGGTGAAGCCTGAACCCGCAGACAGCCAGCTCAGCCCCTCTGCTGGCCCCTCCCAGGCTGTTTTCCCATAGTGCTCAGTGACCACCCCCCAATCTTTCAGTGATACTGTTCTCTCAGCCTGTACACCCTTTTCTTGATCTTATTTTGGTGGAATCAGCATCACCTCTTCCAGGAAGCCTTCTGGGATGAGCCTCCGCCCCCGTGTGGAGCAGGCTCAGGCACCCTGTAACCAGGACTAGTCTGCACCCCTTCCCTGTAGCCCCTTCAGTTGCCAGGAAGGCACTGTCCACTGACCCATATCTGTGCAGGGCCACCCCTGCCCTGTGGCTCCGGCCACAGCATCTCCCTTCCTCACAGGTCCCCTGTTCCACCAGCCCCTAGCAGAGGAGGGACCCCAATCAGTCTCACCCCCTGCTCTGCATGTGAGGTCTTTGGCCATTACGACGCCCCCTTCCTCCCCGCAGCAGGGGCCCCTGTTTCCCCAGCCCTGCCCATTCACTCCGTGACAGCCACCTGCTCAGGAGTGGCATCACAGGGTCCTCCATCTCCATCACCCAAAGGACATAGCCGGGGTCATCTTGGGCTCCTTTTGGGCTCCCCAGCCCACGCGAACCCTTTGCGCTCCTGTGGATTTGATGTGAGTGGGCGTGCCTGTCCCCTCCCTGTAACAGCACAACTTCTCGGGGACAGGTTTATTACCAGGAACACACTCAGCCCTCTCATCATCCCTAAGGCAAAGCAACTATAAGCACCTGGGTCTCAGGAGCGGGCCGCTCAGCCCTGAGCCTGGCTCAAATTGTGGTTTAGCTGCTGGGACCAGAGGCCAGGTCTTCGTCCTGGGCTGCCTTGGGGACCCAAGGAGTGGAGCCGCCAGCCACAGGGAGGAGAGAGGAGGCTTGGGGAAGGGCGGGGAAACAGAAGGGGGATGCCCAGGCTGAGGCTCAGGCTGGTAAGCTAGGAGCTGGGCTGTCCTGACCCTGATCACCAGCCCTGTCAGGGGGCCTCCAGGGTCTCTGCAAAGCTAGTGGCCCAGCTAAGCAGGGGAGACAGGCTTGTGGGCCCCTGCTCTGCTGGCTCCTGGACCAAAGCTGAGCACCAGACCCTGGGTGGTGTTCCCAGGGCCACCCAACCTCAGCCACCCTAGTCCCCCGCTGGCCCCAGGACCCATGATTCCCAGGACAGGATGTGCTGGCCCAGCTGCTAAAAAGGAGGAGCTGCCCACCTGGGGTGGGGCAGGAGAGCTAGGGAGGTGTGGGGTCAGGTGGTCCTCAGCCCTGGACGCCATTGGCCTGGGCTCCAGCCAGGGCTGCCTTGCGGGAGGCCTTCAGGGCCGGGTTATGCAGCAGCGTGTAGGCCACACCCCAACGGGCCCAGCTCCGGCCAGAACGGGGCCCTGTGGCCTTGGCCATGGGGTCCTTTGTCTGCAGCAACTGCATCCCTGAGAGGGAAAGACCTTCTGTGAGTCACTTAGCAAACACCCTGCCAAGCCTCCCCCGTCCTAGACTTGGGCAGAGTCTAAATGTTCTCTTGTAGTCACGGCGGGGAGCCTGTGCTCCAGCTACAGGCCCAGAGGGAGCAACAGGGAAGCACCAGGCTTGTAAAGAGTGGTGGTGTCCCCCTCAGGGAGAGGTGGGGCTTGGGAGGAATGCGCTGGCTTAGTGTCCCCCTCCTGCTGCCCACATCCTGGGCAATGGGGGAAAAGGACTCACACTCTCTGGGGAGAGGCGAGGGTGGCAGAATCTCCAACAAGGTAGCCACTCCATTCTTGGGCCAGAAGGGACGTGCGCCTGTGCCCTCTTCCCAGGAGAGGCCAGGGAGGCTGGGGAGGCCGGGTCGCCCAACCCCAGAGGATCACACACCTTCTTCCTCCTCCCCTGGCTTGAGGCTGCCATGGGCAGCTGCTGGGGATCGGGCCCGGGCCCGGGGGCTCTGTGCTTCCAGGAGCAGGGCGCTGAAGGCTGTCACGGCTGGATGTGACTCGCTGGCCTCCAGCTTCAGGAAGTTTTGGTATGTGTGGTAGCCTGCAGGAGAGCAGAGGTGCCAGTGCTGGGGAAGAAGTGGCACAGACACCCCAGTGCACACACAGGGAGTATATGTATCCCCATGTCCAAGCATGTAGGCACTCTGGGCACAGGGCATGTATACTGCACATGGGTGCCTGCTAGAACACACCATACCTGCAGCCCACCTGCTGCAAAGCAGCCACAGACACTTTAATGGCCACATCAGCTTTGAGGTCAGAGTGACCCCCGGCCACAGCCCTCCCCAGGGACCTTACCAGGGTCCAGAGTGGCAGCTCTCAGGGGCAGCAGGCTGAGGTCCATCTGGCTGAGGTGGATCATGTTGTAGAGGGCAGACAGTAGCACTCTCCAGGTGGCCACCACAGCACCCATCAGCAGGTTGATGGGGAAGAGAAGAAAGGTGGCTGCACAGAGCACTCGCCTGGGGGCAGGTAGAGGAGGCTGAGGCGGGGCTCTCTCAACCCCTTCTCCAGGGCCAGTGTGAGAACCACATGCCCACGTGGCCATGCAAGCATTGAGCGCCTGCTGTTTGCCACATACACCTTCTGCACACCCCACTCTAAGTCATGTCTTCTCTGTATATATCCACCACTCTGGGAGAGGGAAACTGAGGCCTGGAAGCCTGAGTGACTTAGCTGAGGCTGCAGAGCTCCTTGGTGGCAGGGACAAGATTGAAGGCTGCATCCACCTGGGTCTTCCTGTGGCCATCACATCTCCCACCTCCCTCCTCTAGGTCCCCAACCCAGATCCCTCCCGAGGCCCATGTTCCCCAGCTTTGCCATTTGAACCTCCTTCCTACACAGTGGACAGGGTCAGGGTCCGGGTTAGGGGCATAGCTCTGTGCAAAGGCCCTGGGTTCCCTCCCCAGCACCATGCAAAACTGAAAAGAAAAATGTAGGCTTGGCTATTGATTCTCTCCTCCCAGAAGGGCAGCCCTCTCTTCTACCATTCAGGACCCTGACAGAGATGGGGTGAGCGGTGTAGAGGGACAGAGTGATGGAAAGAGACACTGAAGAAGGGACTGGGAGCCTGGGGGACCACAAGCCCAGGGCTACCTTACCTGTTGGTCACCTCAGGGTGTCCATGTTGAGTGTCCAGGAAAACCCAACGAGCTGCTGCATTCTGCAGAGCCCCAGCCAGGACCAAGAGCAGCCAGAAGGGCCTGCAGGCAGGCAGGCAGGGGCAGCTGCAGTTAGTGGCCCCTGGGACAGGGTCCCCAGCACCCCCACCCTGTCCCCTCACCAGGAGGACTCCAGGGACCGCAGGAGCAGGAGGTTTTTGCCATGCAGCACAGGCATGAACACCAGGAAGGCGAGGGTCGTGGTCCCCAGGAAGAAGACAATCTGTTGCACCAGGAGGCCTGGGGGAGGGGGGCAGCAGGGGACAGATACAGGAGCTGATCCCCACCCCGCCACCCCCCAGAATCCAGAGGTTTGGGGCCCTGCTCCGCCACTGCCTGGCGGTGCCATCTTGCACAGTTTACAGTAACTCTCTGAGCCTCAGTTTCCCCCTCTGTGAAAGAGGACCCAGGGATACTGTATGGTGGACAACCGAAGCCCTTGGTTGCAAATGTTATCTCCCCTGCTTGCGCCTGCATCCCCACAGATGAGGACCTCTTGGAAATCAGTGGCTGCTTTCCTGTGAGCCAGAGCAGGGACCAGGCAGATGTCGGGAGCTGTCGATGGCAACAGCCAGGCCACCTGACCAATGGGACACGGGGCAGAGGGCTTGGGGACGCGAGAGATCACGGCTTTCAGGCCCCAGTGATGTGTCTGCTCCTCATCACCCTTCTCCTCCTCCCCTGCAAGGTGGAGACAGAGGCACCAAAGGGACGGACACCGGGCCTCAGACTACGTGCTGATCCAGCCTCTCCTGCAGCACTGCAGTGCCTGAAGGGATCATCATAGATTGCACTGGGAGGCTCCTTCCAAGTCCCCTAGCCCAACTCAGGGCAGGGCCCTTTTTGTAGTCCCCAGCAAGTCCATATCTGCTTGCATACCCCTCAGCGATGGGAGCCTCACTACCTTGCAGGAGCAAAATGTGCCACCTTTGAATTTACCACCTCCAGACATAGGCCACCCCTTTGCACAAACCTAGTGGCAGTCAGCGCTGGAGGCTCATGAAGGGACCCCTTTCCCTAACGGCTCCTGCATCCCACCTCATCCGGAAGGCAGGCACCTCAGGGTGCCGGGCAAGGAGCTCACCGAGGCAGGTGAAGGCAGCCTGGTAGGCACAGAAGCTCATCCAGCAGAATATGACTTTTCGGGATGGGTGAATATTCCGTGCTGGGGGACCCAGCTCCAGGGTGGCCCCTCGGTACAGAGCTTGAAGATTGGCCCTGGGGTGAGGGTGAAGGTGGCAGGGCCTCAGGATTGGTACACTCTCCCTGGTCCCTCCCCAGCCCAGCCCCTGGCCACACTCCAGGGCTAATTGCCACCACAGCCACCTGCAGGGAACTCAGAGCCTGGAGGAGAAGGCTACCCACTCAATCTGAGGGCGCTTCCAGGAAGAGTTGATGTCTAGGCAGTCTTTACAGGGTGTGGGGTAGAGGGTGTGAAAGGGGAGACAAAGCCAGGTGGAGGGCTCAACCCAAGCCAGGTCAGGACAGCAGGGACGAGCAGTGGCGATGGGGGTGACACATGGCCACTGACTCAGAAGGCAAGGCAGACAGGGCTTCATCCCAGCAGGTGGACACCGGCTGCCCAGTTTAACCCAGTGTTTCTCTGGGCCCCCAGGGTCCCTGCCTGGCCTCTCACCTGTGCGTGGCCAGTGAGCGGACCAAGAGCAGGATGGTGAGTAAGCAGGACAGGGTCAGAGCGGAGACATAGCACACTGCGGGGGACAAGGTAGGGCTGGAGTCACAGAGCCTCTGGCACTGCTCCCCTCCCCTGGCCATAGGACATAGAAGACAACCTGCTGCAACCCCCAAGGAGGGATCCCTGGCCTGAAGTCTGCCCCCTCCCTCGTTCCAGCTGCATGGCCCCAGGAGGCACTGGCCCCTGCAGCCTCCATGTGCCCATGGGCTCGCATAATGCCTCACCATCTGTCTCCCAGGACAAGGCCACCATCCAACGCTGTGGTGCCTTGCAATGGCCAAGCCTCACCAGGGAGCAGAGTGGTGGGTGACGGGCTCTTGAGGCCCCTCAGCCACAGGCCTGGCCTTTGGTCACCCTCTGACCATCTCCTGCTTCTCTCTCCTTCCATGGCTGCAGACCTGGCCTGCATAGTACCTTCTTGTTCTCTGCTGCCTCTCTGATCCTCATCCTGTCCACTCTGGGCCCTCTTGGTGGCCAAAGGTGCCTTTCCACACCCACAGGGCCTCCAGGATAAGACTGCAGTTTCAGCTTTAGCGAGACAAGTTCTCACTGTAGCCTAGGCAGCCTCAAACTCATGATGATCCTCCTGCCTCAGCCTTCCAAGTGCTGGGATTACAGGTGTGCACCACCATGCCTGGCTAGTGGTACCCATTTTGCCGGTAGGGAAAGTAGAGGGAACCCTAGGATATCTGCTCCTTGGGCAAAGAGCAGATCCCAGGGCCCAAGCCCACTCTTACTGTAGCTCCAGCCCCTTCGCTAAGCCTGGCCAGAGTGAGGAATCTAGGGCAGGACAGAGGCCAAGGAGGTGAGGAAAGTGCCTGCCCTGCCCAACGCATCCCAGACCAGCAGGATCATCAAGATACCCTGCCGCCACCTGCATCACTGTCCTGTCTCCTCCTCAGCCTCGGCCCCCATGGCTACGATCTCCTCTGTGGACACACCTGGAGCAATGGTCACAGACACTGGGCCTGGGGTGGGGACAACCCTGAAGATGACAAGGGGTGGGGGCTGCCCAGACATGGTGCCTCAGGTCCCAGGAACCTAGACTGGAAGCCCCAGCTGCTCCAGCGGTGATGAAGCAGGGGAGCTCAGGGAGGGAAGGACAGTGCCCAAGGACCCAGCTCCCATGGCAAAGGACCCAGCCCGGCCCCCAACTCCTGTGCCCATCCCAGTCCCTGGAGACCCCGGGTGGCCTCACCTTCCAGCACCCACAGATGGTGTCGCACCAGCTCCACCACCTCCTGCCTGTCCTCAGACAGCACCAGCCCGAAGCCAGCCAGCAGGTAGGACACCTCCGTGGTGACGTCTGCCCGCACCTTCTGCAGAGTGGGCACCACGCTTGCCAGCAGCAGCAGGGCCACCTGCAGGAGCCAGAGAACGTCCTGCGCCAAAGCAGTACAGCCACGGCCTGTGGCTCTCAGGGCATCCTGTGTGCTCCTTAGTGTCCCCAGGCCCCAAAGCCACACAGCATGGACAGAGACAGCACTTGCCTGAAGGGCCGGACATGGCTGGACAGGGCCCCGCAGAGCTTCCCGCCAACCATCTGTCTGTTCCCTACCAGTCATCTATCATCTGTCCATGATCTCTCTATCGTCTATCATTAATCGGCTGTCATGTGAGTTGGGTTGGAGCCATTTTAGGCTTGGGGGCTACAGGCAGGGACTCAGACGTGGATGGCACTACGGGATGCAGGACATACCTGGTAAGTGGCGGTACCTGTCAGGGTGGCTGAGATGACCAGCTTCAAGGGCAGGCGGAATCCTGGGGTCGCCAAAGAAAGGGGCGTGGTGAGGAGCAGCATCAGGCACAGCCCAACCTTCCAAGGGGCCTGGGCAAAGGCCAGGATGCTAGGCCACCAGGGCCAGGCCAGGGGCTTCCACTATCCCAAGCTGACAGTTGTCCCTCCTGGTGACAAGGGACCCATACCCGGCTGTGGGGTGTAGATGTAGCGTCGGGAGTACTCCCAGGCCCAGGTCAGGAAGCTCTGCTTGGAGGTGTGGCAGGAGCTGCAGGAAGATCAGGCAACTGGGGTCACAGGAGAAGCCCCTGCCCTGGCTGACCTGCCCCTTACCTCTTCCCACCTGGCCACCACCATCACCCTCCCTTGGGTGCCTGGGCCTCACCGGCCTCCTGGCTGCTTCCGGCACAGAAGTCTCCTCAGGTATTCCTCAGAATCACTGTTCCACAACCCCTGGGGACAGACAGAGGTGGGCCTTCCTGAGCTGTCCCCAGGCTCTGGACACCTGTGGGAACACCAGCAGGTCTCCGTGGGGACCTCCTGGCCATGCAGGGGTGGGGTGTGCAAGATTGACGTTTGACCTACAGCAAAAAGACCCACGCTTGCCAGAGCTGCCCTGTTCTCTCCCACAAATCTAAGACCCCTTAGCCTGCTCTCTGAGAGTCCCAGGCTGGGACGTCCTGCCAAGATAGCCTTTGTTCTGCCCTGTTTCCACCCCACCCTCTGGCCCCTTCTCCCCAAAACAGGATTTGAGGAGCCTGGGTACCCCGGCACACAGCTGACCAGGACATAGCACAGGGCTTTCCCAGGCAGGTCCCTGGCCTCTCCTACTGTGACTCAGGGAGATCACAAGGGTGACCAGATTTGCCTGAGCCACATTCCAAGCCTCATGCCTCCTGCAAAGTGGCAGAGGCCTTGGGCATGTGGCCTGAGCTGAGATCCCAAGAATGCAGGCCATGGTCACCTGTTGCCATGGAAACCCAGGCCCTGGCTGGAGTGGGTCAGCTGAGCTTGGCTGGGTCCTTTGTGGATTAGATCTCTTTGACCAAGTCCAGATAGTATTTATCCCTTTCAGGAGGACAGGGGTTGGGGGATACTGGATAGGATCCCTGGAGGCAGCGAACAGCCTGGCACATGGCATTTCCATGTCCAGGGAAGCTGCACCCCTCTCCTGAGCCAACTATGAAACTGGGGGAAGGGCCAGGGATATAGGTCAGTAATGCAGTGCCTGCCTCACAAGCACAAGGTCATGGGTTCGATTCCCAGGACGAAAAAAAGAAAGAAACTGGAGGGAGGTAGGGCTCCCTACCGGAGCATGAGTGACAGGAGAGCAGGAAAGGTGGCACTTAGGATTTGAGTCCTCAGGCCCTGTGTCCCCAGCTTTTCTTGTCACCCCTCTGCTCTTCAAGGGCCTCTGGGGAGGCTCGTTCACCCCACCAGCCAGGAAGCCACTGGGCTGTGCTCACATTTCCTATGGTGCATTTCTGGGGGCAATCTCCAGGTCTGTTGCCCCAGTCATCGCCCCACCCCAGGAAGCCCCAGCAGGCCAGGCCGGGTCACTGAGTTCTGAGTCCCAGCACTGAGCCCGGGGTTTGACATGAGTCAGGGGCCTACAGGGCTTCCTATAAAACTTCAGTATCAGGTGGTCATATCACTTAGCACCAGCACCTGCCTGGCAAACACAAGGCTGTCAATTCAATTCCCAGTACAAAAAAAACCCTGCAATATCTTTCAGGACTCCTCTCAGCTGGGAATAGGGGCATGTGCCTATAGTCTCTGTACTTAGGAGGCTGAGGCAGGAGGATGCCACAAGCTCAAGGCCAGCCTGGGCTACATAGTGAGTTCATGCCAGCCTGAACCTGTGAGACCCTGTCCAAAAAAATCCAAAACTAAAAAAAAATAATAATCCTTTCTCCTCATGATGTATCCCTTCATCCCCCAAAATACTTGCTCAGTATTTATTATGTGCTATGCTCTGCCCAGTGCCACCAAGGTGAGCGTGAACAGAGTAGACATACAGCCCTCTCTGCCCTCTGTGACACTGTCCTGCACCTATAGTGCCTCCTTCTTACTCTCTCCTATTCCAGATCCTCCCTGTCCTTCAGGTTGCTGCTGAAGTCCACCTCCTCTGAGAAGCCCTCCCAGACCTCTCCTGCACCTGCCATTATCCAGCTGCCTTTGACCTAGAGCTGGGTCAGGATGCAGCTTTGCCTGGGGAGGGGACTAGGAGGTCACCCAGCAGCTCAGCATGGCCATGTGCAGGGCCACAGACATGGCGGATCCCACCCAGGCTGTCCCTTTACCTCGGAGCCTGTCCTTGTCCTGCAGCTGAAGCTCTGTACCAGCTGCACTGGGTACCAAAGGCTCAGGAAGCCGAGGCCCAGCAGGAGAGGCAGGGAAGCCAGGAGGGAGTAGTACTTGTAGATCTGGACAGACAGACACATTATCTACAACCAGAACCAGATCCACCTCCCTTCCTACCTCATCCCCAAGGACCCCAGGATGGACGGGAGAGACACGGGGAGCTTCTGGTTCTCTGCCCCTCGCCCCCCACCAACAAACACACCTACTGCCCCTTCTCCTGATGCCCACAAGCCTGACAGAGCCAAACAGAGGTAGCTACACAACTCCACCCCCATTCCCAGATTCCATCACCTGGGTTCCTTTCCCAGCATGTTAGGCCGCAGGTACCCCAGAAAGTTGATGGCGGCCTAATTCTGTTTAGGTATAGTTTGTAACTGAGCATCAAGTTCTGAGACTCTGGATTCTCCTCTGAACCCCTCCCCCACTGAGCACGGACCACTTCCGTCTCCCTTCCCTTCCCTTCCCTTCCCTTCCCTTCCCTTCCCTTCCCTTGCCTTCCCATTCTGACCTGACCAAGGGAGGCTGGGATCAGTGATGGGGATCATGAGCTTCCTCCTCCTCCCCTCCGGCCCCCTCCTCCCAGCTACCTTGTCCCCTGCCTCACCCTTAGAAGAGCTGAGCTTGGCACTGCCTGTGCCTAGAGGCATGGAACCCTTGCATAAGGGAGAAGCCCGGCACATAAACAGAGATAAAAGCAGCCGTGCAGGTCCAAGCAGGCTTCTCTGTGCACCCCTCACCCTGGACCACTGTGAGTCAGCGGTTTACCTTGGGCGCCTGGGGACATTCAGCCCTCTGCCAGATGTGGACGCCCAAGTGGGCCCAGGATAGCACGCTCCCCAGCAGGTATGCAACTCTGTGCTTGGCCGTGGCACAGGCAGCCAAAGGGTAGTACAGAACAGGGTAGTAGAGCAGGGCCAGCATCTTCCAGGGCCCTGGGAGGTAAAATGGGCAGAGAGACATGCGCTGGAGGGGCCTCTTTCCTGTCTCCTTCATCCACACCTCTCACCTAGCATTTTAGCAAGAACAAGACGAGCTCTGTATACAGTGCTTAGAGCTCTGTATACAGTGCTTAGTGGGCTCTTACAGAGCCCACGGAAGCCCTCTGTAATTCAGCTGCTATTTATTGCTGCTTTCTCTCTGGCTTCTGGTTTCCTCCCCTGTAAAATGGGATGCTGTCCACACCTCTGGAGGTCGTGCAGCGGAGCAGCTGTTCTCACCGTCACCATCTTGAGCCCACCCCATCACCCAGCCCCAGGCTGTGGCTGCACGGTGTACCTGGGCCAGGTGTGTAGGTGAGGGGCAGGAAGGGCAGTGGGTCTTCACTGGGGAGCAGAAGGCACAGGGCACTGAAGAGGACCATGAAGACAGCAGCAGACACGGCCCAAGGTCTGTGCCCGGCCAGGAAATCCACAGGGCTGGCATAAGAGAGGACAGGTCAGGAGGGGGTCATCAACCCCAGGACCTGGATCACTCCCAGGCTGTGTCCAGGAACCAGAGAGATAGAGAACACCTGCCCCTCTATCATCCACTCATCCAGGGGTATTTGCGCAGTGCCTCTGGCTCCCTCTGGGCCCTGCGTGGCCAAGGACGAGGACGCGCACCCGGCAGGAACAAGTCCCAGCAGCAGTCCTGCTGCCTGCACCCGCGAGGAAGCTCCAGGAAACTCGGCCTCCACACTACCCTGCTGTCTGTGTGGGCTGGCAGGGCTTCAGAGCGCTGGGAGCCACAACATCCTTGTGTAACAGCCACCGCCCCGCCTGGGCGGGGACCCGGCCCGGGCAGACAGCACGCACGGCTGCCCTAGCATTGACCCCAGCCTCCGTGGCTCTGGTCCAGCTCTTCCCCGGGCTCCCCGCTCAGCCAGAGACCCCCTGCCAGGTCCCCACAAAACCCAACCTGGTCTACACTCAGGCTCCACTACCACCTCCCCCAGCCCTGTGGTATCCCCTGCACCCGCCTGCCCAGTCCCATCTCCTTGGGTCTCCTGCCCTGGACCCTGAGGTGATACAGCTGGAAGAGAAAGTTCCACTGCAGGGAAGGTCATTCCCTCCCTCCTGAGTCAGGCAAGGCCCCAGACACCCTCAGGGATAGGAGGGTCGGACAGCATCAGGTGGTGGTGATGGCAGGCAGCAAGACACTGAGGGCTGCCTGAGAGCTTAGTCAGGTCCCACCTGTTCCTGAGAAGGTCCCCTCCCCACTCTGGGGCTCCAGACTACAACGGGTCTTGGTGGGGGTGGGGAGAACCCCAAATCAGAAGTGGGATGTCGCAGACTCAGAGCTGGCTACTAATGACCAATACACCCTACTCTCCCAGACGGCCCTGAACAAGGGCACCCAAGCCCAGCACCAACCTGGGCAGAGCAGGCCCTCCTCGCCCATAGCCGGCCCGGAGCCGGCGGCACAACAGCAGCCAGGACAGTAGCAGCAAGACGAGCATCTGGAAGGAGAGGGCAGGAGAGACTGGGGGGCTCAGGCCTCCCCCAGAACCTGAGCCCAAGACCTCGGTCCCAGTCAGTCCCAAAGCACCCGATATCCACCAAGTGCCCATGCTATGCCATGTTGGGATGCCTGGGTTTGGCCTATGCCCAGCATGGATCCCCACCCGGGGCCAGCCCCAATACCCATTCCCAGGGGCCTGGGGGCCCCTGCACCAATCTCTGTGCCCAGATAGGCACACACGGCAGGCCAGCTGGACTCACCGACAGCACAGCCAGACAGGCGTGGCACAGGGCAGGTGGCACACTGGGCTGGCAGGAGGGCACCTCCCTGTGGGGCAAAGGAAGGCTGGCTCAGCCTAGGGGGCTTGGTGTGCTTCTGGGTCTGAGGCTGAGGACACTGCAGCTCCCCCCAGCACCCCCCACAACCTTCTGCCCTCTCCTACAAAGCTGCCCGCTTCCCAGTTCTTCCTGCGCTAACCGCTAGGGCGCTGGGGCTCTGGGGTTGAAGGCCACAGGCTCCCGGGGAAGCCAGCCTGGCTGAAGCATCTCATCTAGCTCACCCAACACCACTGTCCTTCAAGGCCACTTTACCCCTGCTCCAGGAAAACCTGGCTGCCCCTGCTCAGCGCTCCTTGCAGAGAGAATGCAAACCCCCTTTGCATTCTCACCCCCTCCTTGGTCCTGGGATTCACTTCCTACTTGTGGGACTCTCAGAGTAGATGCCTTTCGGGGGTCTGGCTCCCCAAGAGTGGAGAACCTTGCCTTCTGAAAGCCTCTCAGGTACTGCTCAGTCTTGTCTTCCCAGGCCCAGCCCAGTAGGGACCCAGCACACTGTCCCTGGAGCAACTGCATCATTTCCCAGAGGCCTCTGCTCCAAACCAGAAGCCATACCAAGAACAGGACCCTGATGTCCCTGTCGGACCCTCAGCTCAATGTGTTCACCCCATGAGCCCATGTGTGAATGACCACATGTGGACTCCTGTCTTGTGCCATGGGACAGGCAAGGACAGTCCCACAGGGAGTGAGGGGGAGGCTCCATCTCAGGAGAGACACAGGCAGAGTTAAAGGATGCCAGGAAGAGGAGTGGGTTTTGATTTGAGCATGGGCTAAGGTTGGCATCTCTGGGCAAAGACAGGGAAAGGAAGCCCTGAGGAAGAGGAAGAGGTGAAGAGGATGAGAGGCAGGGTAGCTGGCACCAGGTTTGATGGGTAGCTGGCACCAGGTTTGATGGTGACCCAGAGGTGGGGCTAGGCCAGGTTAGAGGAGGTACAGGGGCCCCTGGGAGCATTAGGATGTTTGAGCAGGGCCATGTCCCAGCATTTGGGGCATTTCTGCAGCTGAGCCCACCCTAAGCACAGTCACTAGTGTCTACCAACCCTAGACCCAGCAGGGCACAGTGGACCACCATGCAGAGCCCTCCACAGCCTTAACACACCCCATCCCCTGGGTGTCTGACTCACAGGAAGAGAGGTGAGCTCAAGTTCACGGCCTTGGAATTCCCCTGCTGTCCCAGCTTTCTGCACCCCATTTGAGGTAGGGGTGGGTGGGAGGATTAGCAAGTATCTCTTCTTGATTTTGCTAAGTAAGTAGAATCAAAACACCCTCTTTACCTGCAGGTACTGTGTCCCATGGTGGGAAAAGGGGGCTGCAAATTTCAGTTGCCACCCTCCTGAGGGGCTGCACCTCCAGCACTCCCTAGCTCCCAGGCTCCTCTATGCCCCCAATTTTATTTGGAAATGATATCTCTGGTCACAGAGCTGGCGGCAGGTGCCTGGCCCCTTGCCAGTAACTGGGCCCTGGCACTCCCAAGGACATGGCTTCTGATGAGGGCTCAGCCAGGTGGGGGTCTCAGTTCTCCAGGGACTCCAGGCCCCTCTCCAACACATACAGACACACACACACACAAACACACACACACACACACACACACACACACACACACACACACACGGCAGGGATACAGGGAGCCCAGTACTCTTGGGGACAGCTGGGGAAGCAAGTGGTGTGCACCCTCGCTGACAGTACAACTGTCTTCCAGGTGGTCAGAACCCTAAGTTCTCCAAAGGACAGTGTTTCCCCCAGGGCTGGGCGGGGCCTCTGCCCCTGCTGGGTGACCCAGGCCTGGCCAGGCTACAGCCCCAGCCTTGGGGAGGTGCAAGAGCATTTTTCCTTCTCTAGTTTCAAGTTTTAATGGAAAACAGATGTGCACACATCTGTCTCAGCATGTGCGCGCACACATACACACACACACACAGTCTCACCTTTTCAGTCCCCCAAACCCTCAGACAGAGCGGAGAGGCGGGGGAAGGGGCCAGGGTTAACAGGGGAGAACTTGGCTCCAGATCTCACGTGGCTGGACGACCCTGGCAGTAGGCAAGGGGCACAGAAAGACCCAGCTCCTCTGCCAGGGTGCCCAGACTAAATCACAATGGAAAGGACTTGGGCCAGCAGTCCTCAGGCCACCCCAGGGTGAGCTGGCTGCCTGCCTCCCTCCCCGCCCTCCCCTGGCCCCGCACCCTTTCTACAGAAACAGGACCTGTGCATCTACCCCCCCTGAGACTCAGCTGTCCAAAGACAACAGAGTGGCAAGGTTTGCCCAGGAATCCACCCTAACCCCCTCCTTTTGTCCTGGTTCTCTGCCTCTCCACCCTCTCAGCAAGCCCAGAAAACCTGACACTGTAAACACCATACCCTCAATGTCACCACAGGGACCCCTTCCAGCCCCCTCGCCAAGCTTCTCCCTTCTGGCTGCCAGTCAGATCACCACGGGCACCCTAGACTTGCAAGGTCAGGGTACACAGTGCTGCCCACCAACCTGGCCCAGGTCCCCCTCCCCTCGAGCATTTTAACAGCAGGGCTGGGGCCCTTAAGAACCAGATACAGAGGGAGGCCCAGAGAGGCTGTGTCTTGTCTAGGGTCACACAGCAAAGGAATAGCGGAGCCAGTCCTTGCCCGGGTCTGAGCCCCACAGACCACTCTGACGGCTGTCAGACTGGGGCTGCCACACTCACCCCTCTGGCTGGAGCTCCTTGCCCCCCAGGGGCTCGTCGATGTACCAGCTGCTGTAGTCATCTGTGCCCCTGGAAGAGGTCTGGTTCTCTGCTGCCTGGGAAAAGGACATTCTCGGGCCTTTCTCCTTTGATCCCCAGACAAGAGAAGGAAAAAAAAACTACTAAAATGTGAAAAGAGGCTTAAAAAAAAAAAAGAAAAAACCCAAACAAAGAGAGATTTCTTTTTAATCCTAAAGGTTACTTTCTTGCTTTTGGCTCTCTGGGAAAACCTGGCCTGGGACAGCAGGCCTGGGAAGACTGGCACAGGAGGAGGGGAAGAGCCTCTCCTGTCCCCTCCTGTCCTTTCCCGCCCAATCCTGCCCGGCCCGCAGACAGTTATCTGGATGCCCCCCTCAGGGTCCTTGAGTTCTGGCTACAGCACCTATCTGACTATCTCAACAGCTGCCAGGAAGCCTTTGCTCAGACGACCCTTTGCAAAGATGTTCCCAGTGCAGTGTGCGGTGCACGGGCCCCTAGAGACCCCCTTCCTTCCCCACCCATCCCACAGATGGACCCACAGGCACAGCCAAAGGGAGGACCGGAGAGGAAGGAGCTGCGGAGATGAAAGGGTGGGCGGGCTGCGGCGGCTCCGCTCCGTCTGCCCAGTCAGGCCCTCCCAGCTGGGCTCCCACCCCTCCTGCTCTCAGGGTCCAGCCCCCACCTTTAGCCTATTGTCCCTGGAGACCCTTCCCAGCCTCCACTTGTCCTGTCTGACCCCTGAAACCTTGGTGACAGGCGCAGACCATCATTCTTGGTGAAGCCCCCAACGAGGAACCCTGCAGGGTATGGCCAGGAGGAGCGGCACCTGACCACGGGGCTCACGTACCTGCCCTCAGCACCTGCCCCAGGACCTCTGCACCTCTGCCCACTACATCTGCAGAGATGGGGATGGCAGCAGCCCACAGAGAAAGAGAGGGGAGCTGGGCTGTTTCCTGGCGTTTCCAGGAAGGAGGCCACATGCGTCTCACTGGTGGAACCTTTTTGTTCCTACAACTTGATTTCACAAGAAGATAACTCACTCCCATAGGCGGAAATGAGTCCTTTAAATCTGAACCAGACCCACAGACAGGCAAGCAGCACCCCGCCTCCTGCTGATCCTCCTGCCTAGACCTGGGTTCCTCTTCCCTCCTCCTGGGGTACCTGGACCTCTTGCCCATCCCCTGCAGAGACAGGAGAGGCAGAGAAAGTTCTCAGCCATGTATTGGGGCAGGGGGTGCAGCTCCCTGAAACTTTGAGGGTCCCCATTTTCCAATATTCCACAGTCAGGGGGTGTAATATGCACTTGTTCCTTCTTTCTACAGAAACTCATGCAACACCTTCTATGAGCTCATACTACTGTGTGCCCACTCTGTTCCCTGGAGTTGGGAAGCATACAGTTCTGGGGAGGAGGACACCCCCTGGAGTGCCAAGCAAATTCCAGAGCTCCAGGGTGCCTGCCCTCCCAACCTACAGAGAAATCAGCTCTCCGACTGCGAAGGAGTCTGAGCTTAGGGGGACAAGGCAGGAGCTCACGCCAGGGTCGGAAGTGAGAGCTGTCCCCAGGCTTGGGCCCACACACAGCTGAACTCTGCCTCTCCTTCCCATGAGCACAGGGCCTGCTCTGGGGCCAGAGGGTCTTTGGAAATCGAGTTTGGCAAAGGCCTCATTTATTTGGGTGACCGCCTTCTGCCCACAGGCCTGTCCTGTAAGGCAGGGCCACTAGCCAGAGCCCCTGCTCCATCACCAGAACCCCCATGCTTTTCACCACTCAGGGGTCTCAAGTAACCTGCCTCATGAGACTCCAATGATTGGAGCCTCATCCTTGCTAGGAAGCTCACTCTCCACACAGGCAGAGCTGCTGGGGTTGAGAATCTCTGCCCCTTACCCCATTGGAACCAGGTCCTGCCCAATTCTGCCTTCATTCATTTAACAAATCTCTCTTTAATGCCAGGTAATGCTGCTGCCATGGCAGCAGAGGGCAAGCCCTGTGCCTCAGGGGGACTGAACAGGCAATGGTGTGGAGGGGACAAAACCGTGTCCAACTTGCTGAGACGGACATGAGGTGGGGTGAGAAGAGAGGCAGAGCTGGAGCTGACTGTGCTAGACAGGTGGACAGGGAAGGCTGCTCTGGGGGTGTTTGGCTTACATCTGGAGGGAAGGAGAGATGGAGGGATGGATGAGGGAGGAAGAGGCCCCTTCAACCTTAGAAGTGCAGCCGGACCAAAAAGTACCCCCATAATCTGGGCATAATCCCTCCCCGCTCTGGCCCAAACTTGTTCCCTGCAAAAGACTTCTTGTGGATATGGTCCCCACTCTTGTGACCCCCTCATGAGTTCGGGACCCATGGTGCCACCTCCCTTCTCACTGGGGAGATGAAGGCGGGTACCAGGGGTTGGCAGGGTGGAGCAGGTAGAGAGGTGGGGCCTGGCAGGGGGAGAGGCAGCTGTCTAAGTCTGAGCCCCAGACTGGCCCTGGGCCCTGTGAGTCCCTTCCCTCTCTTGATCTTGGCCCCACATCTATCACTTCCAGCCCCCAGTTTCTTCTATTGTGGGTACACACACACACACTCTCTCTCTCTCTCTCTCTCTCTCTGTCTCCCTATCCTCCCTCAGTGACTTCACAGCTCAAGAATGCAGAGCCAGCACACCAGACCCAGCCGTAGCAAGCAGATCAAAGCCACAGAGTTGGCCAGGCTGCCCAGGTGCCCGCTGCCTTCTGCCGGCCCCCCTGCCCCCAGCTCCACCCCCTCTGTGGGGGCAGGGACCAGCCCAAGTGAAGACCCGTGGAGCTCCAGCTGGGAGGCAGACCGGACTTCTTGAGCCTGGGGCACCCATCTGCAAGTGGCAGGCTGCCTCAAGGATGTTAGGAAGGAGCCAGCTGGCATAGGGCAGTGCTGGGGAGAGGAGGACAGTAAGGCTGCCCCTCTGGAGGACTTCACCAAAGGCCTGGGCAGCAGGGTGTTGGGAAGCAGCTGTGCTATCAGGGGAGGGTGGGAGAGCAGGAACTCCTGGGGACACCTGCAGAGGCTCAGAGAAAGGAGTGAGGACAAGGCTTGGTCAATCTTGAAGGCTTTTTGGAGGAGAGAGTTCAGAGCAGGGCCCAGAGAGGGCCAGGAATAATAAATAGCAAGAATGAATAAGCATCTCAAGAGAGCAGAGATGGGGGTGGGAGAAACAAGACAGAGAAGGGCAGGGCTACTCTCCTGCAGGGCCAGCATGAGCCCTGGGGCAGTCTGAGGTGGGAGACACCAATGTCCCTGAGCATTCCTGGCCAGCAGCATTCCCTCTGGGCATGGAAGGGGTGCTAAGCCCTATCCCCCCTGGGAAGGAGAAGACCTCAGATCTTCTGCACTCAGTCAGTGAAGGTCATCTGCCATCTGCACCTGGCATGGGGTGCCTGCCCTCGGGCTGCCACTGGCCCGTGAAGCCCTGATACAGGGCTTCCTTCCTCCTTGTGTTTTCGTTCAAGTTGATTAAACCCAAGGAATGTTTGTGTCCAGGAACGGACGCCACGTGCATGCCCTCGGCTGTCTGTGGTCATCAAATCCTCCCAGGGCAAAGAGCTAAGCCCAGAGAAGGCCAGCAACATCCCCAGGACCTCAGAAACACACCATGGCCTCCAATATCCAGAGTACCTGCAGAAGTTCAACAAATTTCCAAAAATTCAGTGTCACCCCAGACCCTTCCACAGCTTCTACATGGCCCCCAGGAATCCTCAAAACTACAGTAACTCCACATAACTGCCGTCACACCTCGGGACCTCAGCAACACTCATGGGACACTGAGACCCTGGTGAATCAAGCCTGGGTCACAGCAGGTCCCACACCTGTCACTGTCCAGTCTCCCACCCCAACCCTGGCTGTGAGTCCAGCAGCACATCACTCAGTACTCCAACACTCAGCAATACCCCATCCCCACATACATTACTGCACCCTGGAGCTGGGGATTTAGCTCAGTGGCACAGCACCTGCCTGGCAAGCGCAAGGTCATGAGTTCGATTCCCGGTACCAGAAAAAAAAAAACAACAAAAAAAAGAAAGCTATTACATTATTGCACCCTGCAGGGGGCTGCAGACCAGCAGCAGGGACTAGGAGGACCAGAACTGTGTGTCTGCTTAAGCAGCCTGGGGACCCTTGCAGCCCACGGGTGAGTAGCCAAGCAGGTCAGCCCTAGGCTGGCAGGGGAGTGCCCATGTGTGCACACACACACGCATGCACACACATACACAGGCATGCGTGCACACACACATACATGCACACACGTGCACCTGCATGCACACACTCATGCAAACATGCACACCACATGTGCAAGTACACCCCAAATGATCCAGCACACACAGGGCTTAACTTTGGCCCACCTAGTCTGGCCTGCATAGCAATGGCCTGGGGAACAAGGCTGCTGGGCTCAGAGCAGGTGGGTGTGGGTGCCTGTCCTCCTCCTGTCTGCAGTGCCATACAGGAGGCTCAGGGCATCTGTGATGTGCTCGCCCCAGGATTCTCATGGCCCTGCACCAACAGCACCACCCCGACAGGAGGGATTTAGGCCACCCTGCCCAGGGAGGAGAGTGGATACTCTGAAGAGGAGGAGGAGGGTAGCCTGCTGTTCCAGGGGAGTGGTGTGCTCTTCCTTCCCTTCCTCTCCCTTCCCAGAGGGCTGTGCTAGAACAGGCTTGGAGGGAGGAAGGTAGAGGCAGATTTCAGCTCAGGACAAAGGCAGCTTTCTTACTCCTGTGGAGTAGTGAGACTCCCTTCAGGGGAGACAGTCAAGAAAAGGTAACACCCAGTGGCCCTAGCCAAAAGGGCATGAGGACTGGCCAGCTGTGAGAGCTCTGATTCTCCTTTCACAGCTCTTCCTCCCTGGGGTGGTACCACCACAGCTGGGCCTTGGAAACAGGCTCGGTGCTGGGCACTAACTGCTGGGCAGATCCCCGCTGACACAGGACAACCTCATGTTACAGCAGTCAGGCCCTGCTCAGAGGTGCCTCTTGACTTCCTTGCCCTTTGGAGCCCACACTTGCTCCCTCAACCCACTGTTCCACCCTGTCCTGCCTCTTCCACCCCTGGTGCCTACTCTGCCCCTGGTCCATCTGCTCCCTGCTCCCACTTGTCCAGATCCTACCTGGTCTTCCAGCTTAGCTCCAGCCCACTTCTGCCAGGATTCTCTTGGCCTTACACTCTGTACCTCTTCCTTGTCCTCTACTGATCACTCTGGGAGTGCTGCATGATGTTCCCCAACACCAGGGCCTCTTCCCGAAGCCCCAGCACCGTCTTAAGCTGGTGTCCCAGAGGACTGGTTGTGGGTCTCAGCCACTGGCCCTAGCAGAGTCCCCAGCACCTGCCTTAAAAGGTGTGTGGTCTCCTCCTCCGGAAGGCAGCCTGGGTCCTGCCCCTCCTCCTGTCCCCGGACCTTGGCTGCTGTGATTCTGGAGGAGCCCACCCCACCCGCTTCCCTGTGCTCAGGCCCAGAGCCTGGGGCCCCACACACAGGCCCTGGTCCCCTCAGCAGGGCCTCTCCACCCGCCCCCCAGCCATTTGCCCGAAATTTGATCCCCTTGGCCCTCCAAGTCACCCCAGCAGAAAAGCCTGCATAGGGCTTTGATGGCTGAGCTTCTCCAGCTGTGGCCAGGATGGGCTCAGGAACCCCCCACCTTCTCACATTTGTCACCATCCCTTAGTCCCAGGCCTGATGAATTGCACAGAGCTGGCCACCAGCTCAGCTTTTAATAGGCGATCAGCGCCCTGCTGTTGTCCAGCTGGGCTGGGTAGCCGGGGGAGGGGGAGCTCAGCACACTTTCCAGGTGTGATCCATTCAGGGGGACCAAAAGCCCCCCTCAGAACTTCCCCTCCGCTCCTAGAAAAATGGGGTCCTGCTCTTCACCCCAACACATTCCTGTATACCCCAGGATGTGAGGCAGCAAGCACCTTGTTCTCCCAGCTCCTGAGCTCTGGTTACCATACTCCACTCCTCCCTCCTAAAGCCCAAGAAAGACAGGGCAAGAAGGGTG